CTAAAATAGATTATAATGGAATTGGGGACAATTTTTAAAATAGCTAAAATTTGTTTTTTTCGAAATATCTAGTAAGCCATGAACTTCTTCGAAAATCTGAAAGGCGCATATTTATGACCCCACAAAACTGCAATTAAAAAAACCCATTTAACTGACTCTCTATCTCCAGTAGTTTCCGAGATACACATAGAGAACACCCTAGGAAACTCACCCTGTATTTTATAATTGACGGATTATGCTTAATGAAATACATTCCTGAATTTTTTATATAAAAAATGACTCTAAAATTATAACAGGATATTTACACTATATTACACCGGGTGCGTCTCAAAAGTGGCTCACCCCCTATAACTTTTTTATTTTTTCAGAAAAAAAAAACGATAATTTGGTATGTTAGAATATTATGACATAAAATAGGATCGATTGACGTATTCAATTGTTTTTGGTCACTTCCTGTTTCACCGGAAGTGACTACAACTTTTGATTTTTAAATGGCACGCTCGGTATATTTCTACTTTCTTCCATAGAAAATGACAATCTGAATAGAATGACATTTTATATGTCAACTTTTGACATTTTCACATATGGTTTATTTGAAATTGTAACACGGCGGTTCATCCCCACAACTTGACTCGAAATACCAAGTGTGTAATACCAAATTATTCGTAAAAAAATAATTTTTCGAAATATGCTAATGAGCCACCCTCGTTCCATTTGTGAAAAAATTGAGATATAATTAAAAATAAGATTTGGGCATCTTTTTAACCGGTCAGAACAAAACACTAAAAACATTAGACGATCTAATCTATTTTACAAGGCTCCTTGATTAAAAATTAATGTTTTTAACACAGCCATGGCACTCTAGATTGAAATTTAAAATACGATTTTTTTAAGCAAAAATGTCAAAAGTTGACATATGATATGTCATTCTATTGAGAATGTCATTTTCGCTCGAATAAAGTAAAAAATACCGAGGATGCCATTTAAAAATCTAAATTTGTAGTCATTTCTGGTGAAACAGTAAGTGGCCAAAAACAATTGAATTCATCAATCAATCCTAATTTATGTCATTACGAAAGTTTTATTTTAAAAATTTGTATCTTTTGAAAAAGGTAATAGATTTAATTAAGAGATGAAAGAATAAATAAATATCAGCAAAATTTTAACAGATCTGGTACAAATGTAAGAACATGACAACGCTGTTTCCGATACGCTTCAGTCCGTCCGCCAAAAAAATGTATGGAAGGAAAGGATATGGAACGGAAGGGAAACGAAACGGATAGTGTGCATTGCCCTATTCATTTACATGATATAATATATTATGTAAACGAAAGGGAAACGGAAGGGAGCTGATATAGCAGGTATAGTGAGAATCAACTTTTAGGATGTATTTCCGGATAATATTTTAACTTCTACAGGATGATACTATTAAAAAAACCATCACTAACCACTCACATATTTTTAAACCAACCTGTATATACAAGTTAAAATATTTTCCTGAAATACATCATAATACATACTTAAGGTCTGCACTTAAACAAAATTTCTAAGTTCTTATTATTATAGGAGCTACAGATGCCCTACGCACTATTGCCGGACTCTGTATATTAAAATATAAAATAATTTTGCTTCGTTTTTTTAAATAAAATCTTATTTTATTGTGGAATTAAAAAAATGACATATCCTGTATTTATAGCATATTTTACCTAAATCTAAGCACTGTTGTAGGACACTGTATAATAACTAAACGTTTCTAACTATTAAAAAAAAAATAATATCTAGTTTTCTTTGAAGAAAATAATTTGAATAGATGAATAGAAAATGTTTTGTCAAAAACCATTCCGAAATAAAGTACGGTCTAAAAGTAGCCTGGTTCAATGCAACAGGTAGCTTTGTAAATGAGTTATATCCCGAAAGGAGTGAATAATTCCCTAACTATTGCGAAGCTAAAAATTCCAAGCTAAAAAAGGGTCGATCCAATATACCGGAAGCTGAGAGGAAAAAACTGGAGAACGAATTGAATTTTAATTAAAGCCGGTTTTCTCGGCTTCTCCCCAATTTTCATCGATTGATTTTTCGGCCCAGATTAACACGTGAACTGGACCGAGTGTAGCGGGTCTTTGTCAAGCCGTACTCGAATAGGTAAAAGGTCATTCATTTGGAACACGTCCACATGAATTTAAAAAAAAACTTTATAATATACGAGGTTCCTTAGCTGAACTAGAGGTGGGAATTCTAGTTCATTGGGAGGAACTAGTTCCTTAGTTCTAGTTCCTCCAGAGGAATAGTTCCTTGAACTAGGTCTTTAGTTCACAATAGTTCTCGACTAACATTGACATCCCCCTTGCTTGCTAATGCGTTTCGTTGTCAGTCAGAATTATTCACAGTATGATCTGTATAATTTTTATAATGTACGGAGATATAACGAGACGTGTAATTGTGTATGTTAAAAACATATAGGTAAGTTTTATTGCAGATAAAAAAAATAAAAAAGAAACTCAAATCAGAGTTTAAAAAACTATATCACAAATCAATTGGAGCAAATATTACAACAATTTTACGAAAAATTGCATTTTTCCTCACTTCAAGCTTTTTGTTTCTGTCTAAAAATTCAGAATACCTACTTCGTTTTATAAGATATTTCTTAATTTTTGGAGTCTGAAGTGAAACATTCCCATAAAATATTTAAAAAACAAACTAAAAATCAAAAACTGTATCCACGACAATTTTCTGTGGTAATTACGCCGCGATTAGTTTCTCTATGTTCGGATCCGATAACAAACGGCTGGCACTCCCCACGCCTGCCTAGCATCAATCGCGCTGGCTGATCCATACGTAAACTAGTCTTTTATTTAGTTCCTCTAGTTCCTTTCGGTCCAGATCCGATAACATACGACTGGCACTCCCCACTCCTGCCTAGCATCGATCGCGCTGGCCCGAACTGTACGTACGTAAACTAGTCTTTTATTTAGTTCCTCTAGGTCCGGATCCGATAATGTACGCCTGGCACTCTCCACTCCTGTATATACACAGTCTCGATCTCGGAATAGGTCCTGAAGAACTAGTTCTATGAGAAAAAAGGAACTAGTTCCTTTCATTCCGGGGTCGGAATAGTTCATTGGAACTAGTTCGTTCACGAACTACACACCTTTTGCCCACTTTTACATATTTTCTTTTAATGAAAATATTTTAGGAAACAAAAATAAATTTATTATAAATATATAAACAGTTATTTACATCAACAAAATTCACCTTCTTAACAGCACTTAAGGGACATAAAGGGCCATTACTATCGCTTTCCCGTTCAAAATATTCTAATAAAGTTGGTTAGATGATTTTTTTATCTTGTACACTTCGCACTAAAAGAGGTTCTAAAAAGATTCAATGTTCGATCTGCAAGTTCTGCTGGTAAAAAATTCTAAGCTTAAAGTATCACAACACAATTCATTTAAACCAAAAACTCGTAATACAAAATTAAAGTGTCAAAACGAATGATAATGTCAGGAAATAAATAAATAAATGTGGCAACTTGGCATTTTTTATAGCAGAGCTACCACCTGAATCCTCAGCGGGAAATTTAAATTCCAGTTAGTCAGCCAGGCGCTGAATATAATAATAATAATAATAATAATAATATACTTTATTAGCCCAACAGGAAATCCCAATTACAGAGCTAAATCAGAAAAAAAAAACAGAAATTCACCAGTTGACTCAAAAAATATATAAAAAACTAACATATAACAAAAATAGAATTAAATTCATCATATAGTCATAAATCAAATTCATCAATATTAACAGCTGATACAAAACCTTTTCACAAAAAATATATATAAAGAAAAAATATATTATATAATAAAAAGCAAATTAAATTGATAGTAGAGTTGATACCAAACATTATATGAACACAAAGAAAATTAGCATATTGAGCTAAAATGATCGCAAAGATGGCGAATCACAGAATCCACTGAATCAGCACTAATATCACATTTCGCGCTTATTGAATTATATAATTTACACATAGAATATAAAGGAGATCTTAATGCGATATTAGTGCGAGGAAAAGGCATATAAAATGTGACATTATTCCTGGACTCCAACCTAGGCACCACAAATTTGAGCTGTTGCAGTAGGTATGGGCTATCGATCAAGTTGTTTAATAACTTATGTAAAAATTTAATATTGTGACAACATCTTCTCACCTCTAATGACTGAACGTCATACTGACTCAATAATAAGCCCTCGTCAATACCCCTTACAGGATAGGAACCACTGCTCTTATAAAACAAGAATTTCAAGAAGCGCCTTTGTGTGTTTTCTAATAATTTCTTATGAACATCATAATGCGGATTCCATACTATATCAGCATATTCAAGTTTAGATCTGACATAAGAGTAATATAAAACCTTTAAACAATCCACATTAGTAAATGTTCTACAATTTCGAATTATAAACCCCAACATTTTTGTGGCGTCGTTCTTTATTTGATAAATATGGGCAGTAAAGGAGAGCTTTGTATCAAACGTTACTCCCAAATCTTTAATTGTAGATTCGCAACTTAAAACTTGACTATTCACCCGATATTCAAATCGAAAATTGTTTTTTTTGTTCGAATATGTCACCACTTTACATTTGGCTGAATTTAGATGAAGCCCATTCCACTCACACCAACTACTAACACGATCTAAATTTTTCTGTAAACGCTGGCAGTCATTCACAGACTCAATTAAACAATAAATTTTCAAATCATCAGCAAAGAGTAGCCTTTCACAATCCAAATAATAGGTAAGGTCATTAATATATAATAAGAATATTAGTGGGCCAAGGTTAGATCCTTGTGGAACCCCCAAACTTGCATGATAACAATCCGACATGTGTGCGTTATATGAAACAAAATACTTGCGATTAATCAAATATGAAAATAAGAAATCTATTAATTTATTATTAAAACCAAGACCCGCAATCTTTTTTATAAAAACATTAGGATTAATTCTGTCAAATGCCTTAGATATATCAGTATATATCACATCAACTTGGTAATTATTATCCAAAGCATTTGAAAGAAACTGGGAAAGCGTCACCAAGTTAGTAACTGTCGATTTATTTGCCACAAATCCATGTTGATAGGGAGAGAGTAGATTCCTTGTAGCTGAGTAGATCCGACCATGCAGTGCGATCTCAAATACCTTAGCAAAACTCGACAGCAATGCAACTGGTCTATAACTCGTTACATCAGACACATCTCCATTTTTAAAGATAGGGCACACTCTAGCAGTTTTCCATATCGTAGGAAAAGTTCCCAATCTTAAGGAAATATTAAAAATTGTTTTAAGCGGATTTGCAAAAACGTTGCCGCAATCTCTAACAATAAATGCTGGCACATTATCATAACCAGATGTTAATTTAGGCTTAAGCTTTTTTATCGCCATTTCAACATCCTTGCTATCAAGAAAGAACATGCTAAAAATATCACCACTTGTGTTTCCCTCATATTTTCCATTCAGTGCTTGAACACTAGGTGTACGGTATACACTGCCAAAGTAATCAGCAAAAGCATTCACAATACTACCCGGTGTATCAAGTTCTTGATCCGCATAAGTCATTTTTCCAGGAATTCTTGTACAATCTTTTTTCGCGTTAATATATGACCAAAAAACGTTAGGATCATCATGAATTGAATTTTGTATGTTACTTAAATAATTCTTATATGCCATGTCTATCTGTAGTTTGATATTTTTTCTCAAATTCTTATATTCCACCAAATAAATATTTAAATTAGTTTGTTTGTATTTTCTAAGATTATATGACTTTAGTTTGATGTTGTTTATCAGTTCCGATCCATACCACTTTGGGTATTTTCTTTTATAGTCTCTATATAAAGGTACATGCAAGTCAAACACACTATAAACTTTTTGATAAAATAGATCCATAGCCATATCCAGATCCTCACACATATTCAAAAAGCTCCAATCTGTTTCCAGAATAGAATTATACAATTCAATATAATTTGCCTTCCTAAAGTTATATCTTTTTACATTTCGGTTCTGAACAAATTTTTTAGATTTAATATCTACTTCAAAAGTGATGTGAAGAGCTGGATGATAAAGATCTTCAGCAACAAGGGGATTATTATCGCGCACAATTACACAGTCAAAATTCGAGAAAACAAGATCCAGTATGCGGTTCAAAGAATTACAGACAGAGTTGCATTGCTTCAGATTGTAAAATGACTGAAACTCAGTCACCAACTGTTTTTTGGCGCTAAAATTATTAACATCAAGAAAATCAGGCATGTTATAATCGCCCAACACCAAAAATTTTTCACTTAAAAGAACTTCTAAACTATACATTTCTTGAAATAGTTCCGAATATAAATTAATTGGCATATTAGGAGGTATATACAAAGCAAGTATACAGAAAGTAGCACGATCAACAACAAGTCTGCATCCCACAATATCGACAGAAGGAAAAACATCAAAATTACTTAAGTTAAGTC